TTGAGGTGAAAATCGGTCTATTTCATTGGAGGCGATCTTCGTGGCAGGTCGCTGTGCTGCTCGCAATTCTGGCACTAAATAGGAAACGGCTTAAAAATCAATAACAAAAACATCAACAAAAACAACGACACCGGAATGTCGCCGACGGAGAGCCCCAGCCCGGAAGAAAGGCTTCGCACGCCGCTAGGCTGATGCCGAACAGTGCTTTCGCCACTCTCACACGCATCCCGCCAGGGCCGCCAGGGGCAGAGCGACGAAAGCACTGATCGGAATCAGCCCGCAGGGCCGAAGCCGTGACGACACGCTAAATTTCGCGAACCATGAGCACGCAAATGACTCGACCAAATTTCGGCGTAAACGTGGTCCGCCTTAATGGGATGGCCGTGTCCTTTTATTGTGTCGTCCCACGGCAGGTGTCGGCGCGGCCATGCCCGGCCATGCCTGGCCGTGCGGGCCGAGGCTCTTTTAGGCTCGTCCTCAGGCGCGGCGCGCTCGGCGGCCACGGGTCAGTTCGCCGAACGGAATGTGACGCAGCACGCAGTGACACGCAGTGACACGCAGCCACCGACCGCCGGCAGCGGCGGCAGCCCGGAGAGCTTTTTCCATCAATGATGCAATTATCGTCGCGATCCACCATTCACCGGCGGAGGCGAGGCGGCGAGGAGACCGCCGGTAGTGCCAACCGCCAAGCGCTACACCGAAATAACACGCCGCTGGAAGCAACTACTTATGCAAATGAGGCGGCCGTTGGATCCAGCCCGCGAGGCGCGTCGGTGTGGCGATACACTGCGGTAGGTCACGTGACCTTTGTCCTCGGAAAAACAAGTCGTGACAGGTCGACGCGGGAAACGGTGAAACAGAGACGCCATTTCCCAGCTCTGTTTTGCGCGTCGCAAATGATGATGCGACCGCGGTCGCCGGCAGTGCTGCTGGAACGCATTCCGCCCATTGGTCTCCGGCGGCGGGGGCTTCACCCTTGTCTCCTGCGGTTGGGAGTGAAAGAGTTGGATCTTTGGAGAACCAGGTCGTTGACGGGAGGCTTTTTCCACAGCTACATTGGACGCGGTGTCCGTTCAAAGGCAGCTATAGCTATCGACACAGGCTCCCCACTTTGCATTATTTTTCTGTGATTTGCCGCTCCCTTGCCGGCCTGCCGGTCAGAGGTCCACCTCGAGGCCTTCCGCGGACGGACTCCGAGCCAGCTCGTGCGCCCTGCACCGCCCCTGCACCCAATGACCCAATCTACATCCGAGACTACCTGCCTGGCTGCCTGCCTGGCCGTCTGGCTGGCTCCGCCACGAGCCGCGCCGACTATCGCCCGCAAACAAAACTCTTTTTCTGACAATGACAACGCGGTGGTGCCGGCGGTGGCGGGGCGGTCTGGAGTGAGAAACCAAAACGGGGCTGGCGCGCAGCGCGCAACGCAACGATGTGCGTCGGTCGTTTGGTTGTCTGGTCCGGTCGGTGCACGCGCACCACGCCACTCCGCGCCACTCCGCGCTAACACATTCACCCGGAAACTGACCTAGCCCTAGCCCCAAGCGGACTGCCCGGCCCGACCTGGCCTGCCCAGTTTCACGCGTATGTTGCGTCGCGGCGGCACCACGTCGACCACGGCACGGCACGGCGGTGCCCTTACCTGGGTCACTATTCAGCGCAGTCTGGCCACACTCACGCGCATAAGCAGCCAGACTCTCGGCCAGACTCGCCTGGAACACTTTCGGCCTTCGGAACGCGTTTTCTTTGGGGGTTGCCTTCCTGCAGCCCCATCCGTCGTCGGCGAGGTTGCGCGGGAACTCGCAGATGATGAGCAAGGTGTGTCCGTCCCGGTCCGTCCCGGTCCGTCCCGCCCAGCGTGGCTTCAAGACGCATCAAATTGTTCGGCTGGGCAGGCAGCTCCTCCGACGCCCAGGTGGGTTGGGTTGCCTGGGAAGCGGGCGCACGGTCATGCTCTTCATCCTCCCTTACTCTCCCGCGACCTGGGACACCTGGGACGCATCTCACCGTATCGATACATCGAAAAGTAATCGGAGCGTTCGTCTCGTCGCCCCGCAGTGCCGCTGTGTCACGCCGGCCCTGCCTGTGTCTGTCTTGGCCTGTCTCGGCATTTCATTCCGTATTCCCAGCGCCACCAGATCGCGCCCAGCGATAAGCCTCCGCGTATCGGGGCGCTGAATCGCCGATCCCACTTTGTATACTACAAAGACCGCCAGCTCGCCAGCTAGCGCCCAGAGTGTGGCAGTTTACTGTGGGCCAGGCAGTGTGGTGGTTAGTGGTGCTGTGGGGCGAGGCTGGGCGACGCGGCGGCATTTAAACGCCCAACAAAACAAAAGCAACCGTTCCGAGGTCTCGATCAGATGAAATAGGGTAAAGCACATTTATTTCTGAGAACGTTCTGCCTGAGGAAATGCGTGCCTGAGTAAACCTCTTCATCTCTTGTTTTAACCTGACCTAACCTAACAGACGAAATCCATCGGCAAAACTCCGGCGATGTTTTATTTTCTCTGTGTCATGCCCTCAGTCACGTCCGCCAAAAGGGCGGCGCAGCGGTCTAGACGGGCCGCGTCGCCGCGTCGCCCTCCGCCGTGCTCCACCGTCTCAAGGTCTCATGCCCAAATCACCTTCTTTGTGTATACTCTTCTCGAACGGCAACGGCATGAAAAGTTGGACCCAAAGTGAAACCCAAATCGAGACGCCAGGGAGGTCGTATTTCGGACAAATGCGTATTATCCGCCATGGCAACAGCTATTTTTGCTGTTTTCCACTATCACGCACGCCACTGGGCACCGTGGTTACGGAAAGACACTCGGCGTGCCGAAGGCCGAACGGGCCGAACTGCGTCGGAGGACAACAACAAAACAAAAACATGTGGCGGGCGCGGCGAAACCTCTCAAGAGGCGGACTGGCGTACGGTGCAGCAGAGCAGTGCAGGTCAGCGGGGAACGCTCCAGAAGACAGTCCACACATCGCGCTTGTCGTCGCTTCTGTCTCTCTCGCACCTATGCGAGACGCCCCCTGAGTGCGTGAAAGAGAGAGAGAGAGAGAGAGAGAGAGAGAGAGAGAGAGAGAGAGAGAGAGAGAGAGAGAGAGAGAGAGAGAGAGAGAGAGAGAGAGAGAGAGAGAGAGAGAGAGAGAGAGAGTAGAGAGAGGACTGGACGCGCGGCTGGAAGGCGGGACAGCGCGGTGCCTCCGTGCCTCCGTGTCTTGGTGCCTCCGTCTTCACACCGGCACGCCGGCACACAGACGATAACCCGACCAGGTCCCCGGCGGTGGCGGAGACAAATGCGAAATGTCGAAGTGCGATTAGATTAGCGCTGCGGGCTGCGCGCTGCGCGTGTGTTTGCAGTAGTCCGGGAAGGCTGGGCCAGGCTGGGCGTGTCTTAGGTAAGACAAGACGGGCGTGGCGCGGCCGTCGCGTGGCGGGGCCGCCGGGCCGCCGGGCCGCCGAGCCGGGGCAGAAGGGTTGCGAGATGGAGATGCACTGCTTGGCGCAGGTCGCAGTCCCGGGTCCCGTCGGTCCCGGCCCGCAGGTCAGTGGCCCAGCGGTGACAATAACCTCTCCGGCGGCGTGGCGGCGTGGCGGCGGCCGTTGCGTGGCGGGCGCGGGGCGCGGCGGGCCGCCCGGATCGAGTTCAACCGGGGTGTCGCGTAGGGGCGCCGCGCCGCGCCTCCATGGCCGCGCCGGCCCGGGGTCGCTAGACAGAGACCTAGAGGGCGGCCGCAGCCTGGGCCGCAGCGGCTGTATCGCGTAAATTGAGGCGACCGTCACCTGCAGCAATTATCGAGGCCGCGCCGGGCCGGGCCGCCAGTCCGGCGTCGCGTCCTCGCGTCGCGGAAGAGGCTGCTCATCTTGCAGACGGCAATCGAGATGACGGAGGCCCCGCCGCCCCGGCCACCGGACACTGACACCGCCCCGCGGACACCTTCGCGCTTCACGCTTCTTGGCGCAGCCGGCGGGGAAGCCTCTCGCGGCTGGCGATGTTGCAGGCCATGCCGGTGGACCGCACCGTTCATGCGTCTGTGCGGAGCGCGCCGTGTTGTGATTGTTCTTTTTTTTTCGCGAATGCGCCCGCAGGCAATACGCCCTGCGTGCGGAGACATTGCTCGCTGGTCCCGGCGATACCCCGTGGCCTGGCCTGGCCTGCTGCTGCCGTCGGCGCGGCGCCGTGTCGATAGGCTCCGGCACGGCCACGGAGGCGGAATGGCTGCCTACCCAGCGCACCGCAGGCGGCAGACAGAGCCTTGCCGGCCTTGCCGCACGCACAGCGTGCACAGCAGGCCGCTCTCGTCGCTCCCACTCTCTCGCTCTCTCGATCTGGACCACTCCGGATCCAGAGTCGTCGCCGGGCAAGGCCTTTGCTCCAGTTAGTTTCGGTTTGGCCCAGTGGCGGCCTGGAGAAATGCCGCCCCACCACTGAGCCGTTATGCCACCGCGACTTGCCTTTTGTACGGCCGTGCAGCTGTGTTCATCAACAGGGGGTGTAGCTCAGATGGTAGAGCGCTCGCTTAGCATGCGAGAAGTACGGGGATCGATACCCCGCACCTCCATTTTTTTTTGTTTTTATTTTTAAGAAAATTAAAATCTTTTTTTAAAATGATATTAAAAAGTGCCTTTTTTATGATTAGACTGTCTGTTAAGTTGCAAGAGTACATTTTGTGTCTTGAACTTTCTCACAAATGGGACATACCGTCAAAATTTACGAAATTTTTTCAGCAACATAAATATTGCCGTTAAAATATGTTCTGAATAAAAGTGGAGGTGCGGGGTATCGATCCCCGTACCTCTCGCATGCTAAGCGAGATTTGCAATGCAATCTGCAAGATTTTAAATGCTCAATTTTTTTAATTTAAAAAAAATAATTGTTTAAAAAATTGGAGGTGCGGGGTATCGATCCCCGTACTTCTCGCATGCTAAGCGAGCGCTCTACCATCTGAGCTACACCCCCCGTTGAACACCTGGCTGCAACGGTGGACATAAGAGGGACAGCAGGGCCGCGCGGATTGGGTGGGGCCTGGGGCAGCCAGGGGCCGGGCCCCACAGAAGGGAAGGGGCCCGCTCCCGCCGCGTGGAGAGGGAAGTGCCAACCTCTGCACAAGTTTTGTCGAGAAATCTTTGCTTTTCTCTACATCAGCGGCCACTCTGAAGCCAAATTTCTGCTCTGACTGCGCCTATTGCATTTAATGCAGCCGGTGCAAAAGATATGACATTAAATTCGGATGGTTATTAATTGTCACTGGCATAGCATTGAGATCGATTCCTCCGAACTTCGCTTTCGTCGCTCTCTCTCTCTCTCTCTCTCTCTCTTGCACTCACGGGGTGTCCCTTGTAGGTGCAAGAGAGACAGCGAATCAGCGCGCTGACGTGACTGTAGGGCCACGACGGCCACCACTCCGCGAACCCCGCCACGCCGCCACGCCGCACGCTGCCAATCCGTCGCCGTTCTCTGTCTTTCCCATGTGATCGGTGTATCTCGAAGTTTCCTGCAGTCCGGTCCGTTGGTCTAGGGGTATGATTCTCGCTTAGGGTGCGAGAGGTCCCGGGTTCAAATCCCGGACGGACCCTGTTTTTCGGGCGCACGGCTTGATTCCATTCACCAACGCCAACTCTTGTCACATTTTATGCGAGTGCCCCCACGGTATTCTAGGTGGAGCGCACGGTCCTAAGATTGTAAGGTTCGCAGAGCCTCTGGCCTAGCGCCTCGCCGAGCGGCCGAAGGTGTAGGTGCCGCTTGCTGACCGCGCAGATTGGCCAAAAAAGCTGTTTCAGCCGTTCTAATGAAACACTTTCGCTTTTGTACGGAGCGGTATTTGAGTGGGGGACGGACTGTCGAGGGCGGGCCCGGGCGGGCCTGTCTTTCTCCCCAACGTGTGGACCTGGGACTCCTCCGCCCAGTTTCACCTCTGAAACCCGTGCCGCAGGGCATGCTCGCCGCGGCCCGGGCCCGGCCGGGCCGGTTGTGAAGCAGAAGTGGGTCACGCATTGTCTGCCCGCCAATTGGTGGGGAGCCGTGCTCTGATTGGTCCAAAACCGGCTGTGGCTGCGCTTTTCAATACTTTCGACTTGCATGTTCAACACCGGGGGCGTAGCTCAGATGGTAGAGCGCTCGCTTAGCATGTGAGAGGTACGGGGATCGATACCCCGCGCCTCCATCTTTTTTCCGGGAGTTTTGGACTGATTTTGCACATCGGTCTCGGCGGTCTCGGTGTAGCGCCTGTGGAGCGCTGGGTGGGCAGCCAGTCGGCCACGACTGTTTGGCGGGTCGGCCTGCCGTCCCGGCTGTCGGACGCCGCCCGCCTCCTTCATCTCGCCGGCTGTGCGTCCTATTCTCGAGTGTAGCATGCCTCGCAGTGTTTTCCTAAGGAGTTGGCACCTCACTTTTATTTACACTACGGCAAATAGTGTTATTTTTTTCTACGAAGAAGTTTTGGGTTTTTCGTGGTGGTTTATTTTTTTAATACGAGCAGAAAAATAAATTGTCTGAACTGTTCCGTGTGTCTCATAACTATTTTATCCCTTTCATCAACGAAAAATTACTGAAATTTTGAAAAAATGCGCCTTTGTGTAGCAGGGATGGCCACAGTCAACTGTTTTTTCATATTGATGTGTGCCAACTCTAAATAACAAAAACTGGCAGATTTTGAAGGAAATGAATGGGATATAGGAGTGAAATAGCTCAGAAGACATGCGTAATTGAATTCTCATTGGAAAAGCTCGTTTGTTCTTGCTCCGCATGAATTTAATTCACTAGGTGGGGCAGTTACGTGGTAGCTTTTATGTCATTTTTAAGCTAACTGAACATACCTCGCCTGAACGATGAGAAATTGTAGCTGCGCCATTCTCGCTAAAGTATGAGGGATTTTCTATTACGTACCAAAACAAACACTTAAATACAGACGCCCAGGATTTTGTTGAAGGCTAATTTTGTGACTTTTACTACAGTAACTTAAGGAATTCAGTGATAATATTGCTTAGGGAAGTTCTTCATCTCTTCAAGAGACATTTAATTCAGTTTTCGCGAAATGTCCCCGTCATTATATCACTCTGTACCAAAATCCCAGTGGTACAGGTTAGGATCTCGTCCTCTCCTGTGCTTGTTGTTCTTTACCCTGGGTTGTACTTTGTCAGTATGCTTTCTAGGATCGATGGATTGCCCTTCGCCTTATGTCGATAAAATAGTTTCAACAGATAGATCTGATGTTTCAAATATTGGCGATAAAGTCGATAAAACCAAAAAGCTTGTAGTATTAATCATGTCTGCGCCTGATAATGTAATTAAGAGACATGCTCTTCGTCTTACATGGTTGTCATTGGTAAATCATGAGTCGGTGAAATACTTTTTTGTTATTGGTAGTAAACACGTGCAAGGGAATAGTGAAAATGTATTGTTAACAGAAGAGGGTCATTATTCTGATCTGTTAATTTTACCAAATGTGGATGAAGGCTATGATCTTTTAACAGCGAAACTGCTTGCATCGTTAACTTGGATGAGTAAAAACTTGGACTTTGAGTTTTTGTTGAAAGTAGACGATGATAGTTATGTTGACATCAGACAGCTAGTCAGAGAGCTGTCAAGGAAAACAGATACTAAGAATTTATATTGGGGTTATTTTAATGGCCACGCCCAAGTGAAACAAACAGGGAAATGGGCAGAACAAAACTGGAACTTATGTGACCATTACCTTCCATATGCCCGAGGAGGTGGTTACATTCTATCTAGGAGGCTCGTGCACTACCTGGCTGAAAATTCTAAACTCTTGAAGTACGAGCAACATTCATAGAATGATACTTGATGGTGATGATGTCTTTATGCTCAAATTATGTGATGTTAATTTGTTTCAGTATTTACAAGAATGAAGACGTCTCAGTTGGTGCTTGGCTTGCTCCACTAAATGTTACCCGTGTCCATGATCCTCGGTTTGATACAGAATGGGCTTCAAGAGGTTGCTCTAATCAGCATCTTATCACTCATCCGCAAGAAGTCTCTGAAATTTACAAGCTTCACGAGTCTTTGAGCAATTATGGTTTTATGTGTCAACGTGAATCTGTAAAGAGGCGTGCATATAGCTACGACTGGAGTGTTCTTCCATCTAAATGTTGTAAAACACCTTCTGCTTAATTTGCACCTACCTGTTTATTATTTTTTTAATTTATTTCTGGTATAAAACTGAAGTATTTCATTCACATATTTTATTGCACATTTATCTATATTCAGTGTAAAAGCAATTGCTAAATATTTCTTATAATTATTTCATACCCAAAGACTGAATTAGTATATGAAATCAATCATCCACAAAGCAATAAAAATTTACTACTGATTTAATCAAAAACTCGAACTTGTTCATTTTCCCCCCAGTCCTGCGTTAGAAGGCTTGATTGGGGGATGAGCGGAATCGTCGAGACACGGAACACGGTACGAGGCAGTCGGGTACCTGATGAACCAACTTCTCGCCCCCCATACCCCCCGCTGCCATCTTAAATTAGACAAGGCTATTTGAAGCGAGCCCGACCCGAGCCGGTGGAAATGCTTCCCCCACCTTCACTTCGCCCAGCGACGGCGTCCGATTCCTGGAAATATCGCGCGTTTTCAAAGTGTGCGCTCGTCCTTGACGCCGCCGGGGCAGAAGGCAGAACAACCACTTCCCCGAGCAGGGCCCCGAGGCTCTCCAGGTCCAGGCGGACTGCCGGCCCGGCCAAGGTCTGGCCCTCCTGCCTACCGCACTTGCGGCATGCTGTCAAAGCCAAGAGCAGGGTATGCACCGCGGTGTGCCCTATAGTACCCAGTGGGCACTGCCCACCCACAGAGCGGCCGTTGCCCGTTGGTCCTTCCTTTCAGCAGCAGGCCGCCAGTCCAGCAGAAAGGGCTGAGTTTGCACGAATTGTTGTCGCGCTGTGCCTTAGCACCACTTCCGTCGACACCTGAACTCGAACGAACTCGACTGCCCCGCCCCTCCCCTCGCGTGGCGTATGCATGCGCGGCCTGCCCTGCCCAAGGGCCAGCCTTTGCCTGCCCGGCCGGTGGCGCGCTCTGGATCGCTCTGGGAAGTCCGCGCGCTCCCGCCGCCACCGCCGCCTCCCTCCCCGCGCCACCCGAACCCCGCCGACTGCCCTAGTAGACTGCCCCTTGGTGCCCCTTGGTGCCCCTTGGCCCTCCTGCATCCATTCGATATTCCGTTTGCAGGAAATGTTCGAGATGGCAATCGCGGCCCGCTCTCGCACGGGCCTCGGCTCGCGTTCGTCGTTGGAAAACCACAAGTCGGTGCTTCGAGAGACACTAACGTCTGGTCCCCGAAAGGAATCACCTCTCTTCTACGCGAGAAGGATAAATGTATGACGGGGCGGACACTCGTTTGACGGCGTGTTGTTGCATACGAGTGTTGCGTACTCGGAATCACGCGGCGTGATGTCCTTCGGTTCCAGATGTCCTTCGCCGCCAACCCTTTTTTTTTTACGGATCAATTATTTCCACGTAAGCCCCTCCTCTTCGTTTCTCTCTTGTGTGGTGACCATTCCGATGGTGTGTGTGTGTGTGTGTGTGTGTGTGTGTGTGTGTGTGTGTGCGCGCGCGCGCGCGCGCGCCCGCGTGTTGACTTCTTGATGGGAGAGGACTGCTTACTTATGATTCCGCAACGCGTGCTCCTGGGTCCTGTTGTTCTCGCTAAATTATACCATTTCCGCGTTCAGTCTTGCTGCCTTGCTGGTGGCGGTCTTATCATGGTTCAAATTGCGTCTAGAAGGCGGGCGTATCGCGGCACGGCCGGCGTGTCGAGCCGTGCACCCACCTGCCATTTGTATCGCTACCATCCACGCTGCGCCGCGCCACGCCGCTCGCCGTGAGGCCGTCGTAAGTGGCCCCGGCCAGCCCGGCTCGCCCTGGCTGCAGTTGGCTGCAGTGGCAGGCGCTGCCGCGCTGCCGCCCCGATGATGACAAAGCAATAAGGCGAAACAGAAATGACGCGGTGTGTGCGTCACGAATAATTGGAGCGCAATAAATTATGGATGCGTCGATAGTGTTGAGTGCGCCTAACGAGGTCCTTTGTCACACAAAAGGAGAGCATGAAGAGGCGGGACCTCGGGCAGGACGGCCTGCTTGGCCTGGCCAGGCCACTGCCAGGCCCCAGCCAGGCCAATCTGCGGGACACGCCGTACCTGCAGGGCCTACACATCACGGGGTGGTTAGCTAGCAGTAGGCAGCCGTTGTGCTCAAACGAGGCAACCTCCTGGCTAAACACATGGCAGCGGCTTCTTCTTTTTCTTTTCTTGTAGTAATGCAAGCGAGTGCAAGGCGGCTTGCAGGGGGGAATCGACAACGTGGCGCAATTGCCCGCTCCATGGCAACATGTGACCATGCACCTTTCGGGCAGGAAGCGACAACTTCCGGCTGAAGTACTGGGGCAGCGCGTACGCCCAGCAGTTCGACATAGCCCTCTCCGAATCGTCGCGTTACGTGTTTTGGTGCCACCTGCGGCCTGCGGCCTGCGGGGGAGTCGGAGCTTGGGACGCGCGGAGTGCTGTACCCGTTGTCAACGTATTTATGGATGGTTGCTCTTTGACCCCGATTTCGCTCACAAAAGAATTCTTTCAGTATGTGGGGCAGAGAAGCGGCGAAGGCGGGACGCTCGTACGCTACTCCGGAGTAGCCAACCCCCTCCCCACCCCCTTTCCCCTCTCCCCTATATTAAGGCGCCCCCTCTCCTCTCGTCCAGCCGGCTCAAGTAGGGGTCAGACGCGCATCGTGTCATGCGTCGAAAGGGATCACGGCCAAGTCAAGAGGGCTAAACAAGAAAACAAAAAAAAATGCCCATTACAATTTTAGTAATTTGAAGGAACAAGTGTTGGCCCACGAGTTGCAACGGAAATTAGGTACGAACGTAACGTAAAAATGATAAAGAAAGTAAAGTCCGAAAAACTGTCCTCAAAGCGGACGCTATCTCCTCAGGTCCCAAGTCCCCCCCTCTCTCTCTCCCTTCTCTTTTAGTTTGGCCTCTGCAACGATGTATCCATTCTTGCCAGAAGTTTAGCATGGAAGGTACACAAGACCACAGAGGTTTGTCCCCTGGCGTAACGGCTCGAGGTGCGAGGCGGGGCGGGGTGAATAGGCGCATGCGTGCTGTTTGCCACTGCCCTTTGTTTTCTTGACGGCCACTTTTTTATTTTAAAAGGGGGGCGGCTGCTGCACCGTGGGTCCGCAGCGTCCGCAGCCATTGCAAACAGTCCCCGACTCACCGTCAAAGTTATTGACCCTACCCTAGGCACAGCCAAGCCACGGCACTGCCACGACTCGCAGACTCTGTATCTAATCGATGGTTATCACCTTCTGGCTCTCATCTTGTTTCGTGCGTAGCAGAAGCATCGCTGGACGAGGACAGGCGGGGCAGCCGCAGCGCGGTGCTCTGCGTCCAGCAGAAACGATTCCGCACAGCGCAGCCGTCGCTCTCTCTCCCGCCCATGGGGCGTGCCGGCGTGGTGCCGGCGTGCCACCCACACCCCGCTTGGAGCACAGCCTTTTTCATGTTGGGAGGCTCGCGGCAAGCTCGCGGAGAGAACATTCCCACGGGACACTGAGGTGGACAATCCGATCCCAAATGGCGTGGTCAGTTTGGTCGTTCGGATCAGCAGAGTGTGGACAGGCCGACAGCATGAGCGATCAGACACACGGACAAAGGTATTGTCCATCGCGCAATCTTGACGCGGGTTTGCTGTAGAGGAGTGGATGAGGGGAGGAATGGGGAGACTTCCGAGTCCTCGACTCTTGCTCTTCGGCCTGAGCGACGCTCTCTCCGAGATTCTCTCCTACTGCACACGCATATGACGGCTAGGTTTAGGTTACGATCTGCAGGAAAGTTATCCGGGTCATCAGGGAACACATTAGAATCAATCAATGCAGTTCGGAGTGGTGCCAGAGGTGAAGGTCATGTTTGTGGCAAATCGGCAAATATCCTATCGAGCCGAGTGACGTGGCCCGATGTAAGGCGCCGAAATGCTGTGTGTTGAGGGGCCGCCTTCGGGGGGCCACGACGGATAAGGCGGCCGATACGTCTTTACTCTTCACTCCGACTGAAAAAGGGAGAAAAGAAAGAGAAAGAGCGGCGGCGTGGCTGCGAATGTTTCAGATAGTGTGGTTATTTTTGTTGATTTGTGCACGTCAAGTGGGTTCGTTTTTATCTTCGTACTCGGAGGCACTTGTCCGCAGAGAGGAATAGTATGGGCAGGCGACGGGTTGAGCCACGGGCCTTTTTTTTTTGGGGGGGGAGAAAAAAGGAATGACGTGTTTTTTTTTTACCCGAGTGATTGATTGTATTATCTTCTTCGACATATTTTTTTCCGTTTTTGAAATTGGGTGAAGTGCGGTTTCTTGGACCGCTGCGACACGTGTTGCGCATACGGAATGACCAGCGGGGCGGTAGCGGGGCGGTAGCGGGGCGGACAAGGAATTCAGTGGTACTGTACAGCAGCCGAGGGGACGGGGAAATTCAAATCCGGGAGCGAGTTTGCACCGCCCCCTTCCGGCCGAGGACCGGTAAATCCCCCTCGCATAGAACATCAGGACGCTGTCAGGAAAAGGGTATATATTTGCTGATCAGGTCATCCCAATTTCACCTCTAGAAGAAAAAGGAATCAACTTGAAGAACACCTTGAAAAGAAATTACGACATGCCATGCGTTCAAGTCTTTTCCTTTATTATTTTTTTTAAGGGTCGCTGGACTGGAGGCGTTGCCATGGTTGCCAACAGCCCTTTCGAGCCCCTGCTGCGTCACGCGGACCGTGCACCAACGCCTCTGCAGAAGCAGAGAGCGATCCAACCCCAGTGGCGCGAACAGCGCGTGTGGTTGCTCTTCATTCCAGGTGAAGTTGCAGCTCATGGCGGCCTGTGGCGACGGACGAGGAGGTTTGGGGCTCCGGGCCCCGGACTCCGGGCCCAGCTACCGGGGCAGGAGCAGGAGTCACAATGGGGCGCAATCTAGTAAATCCTGTTCACGAATGAGATAAAGTACACAGGCAAGAAAGCCCTGAGGGTGATTCGAAGGGAAAATAAAAAGATGATCCAGGTGCCTCGGGGGGGCCTGATGATGGGGGCGTGATTCTACCTGCGCCTCTCTGAAGCACACCTTTATTTAAACAGAACGAAATCCTCCCTTGGAATGCGAGTAGATGCATACTCATTTGCCTGCTGTCGCAGGGCATGCATCGCCCTGATGGGCCTGGCTCGCCCTGCCTGCAGCCTGCCTCGGTGACTCACCCTCCAGTGCGAGCCGAGCAGCCAGCCGGCCGTGCGGAGCCCAGCCGGGACATAGAATTTAAGTCCTTCCTGAAGCCGCGGTCGGCACGTGCGAAGGCCCGAGAGGCCCGTCAAGGTGCCAGATGGCGGGGTAGGTACCCGCCCGCCAACCCACCACCACCGCCACGCCAACCCCAGGAAAACATTTTGGGGCCGCGGACGGCGCGGACCCTCGCCGCGGACGACCGGACTAGTGACGAGTACCTGGTGGGGCCCGAGTGTCCTGAGGAGTGGGTGCGGAGAGTGAGGGGGCGAGCCTAGCCTACGGCCTGGCCTACAGCCTAGCCTCCGGCCTACAGTGGGCCTGGAATTGGCCTGGACCCTGCTAACGAGACCCGCCCGGCCCGGCTATTCTTTCACACCTGTATACCCGCGCCGCCTGAGAGGCCCCGAGGGCCCGCCCCCGCCCCGCCCAGGGCCACGCAGGGCACGCAGGGCCACGCAGGGCACGCAGGGCCACGCAGGGCCCACCGAGAGGCAGGCAGCAGTGGCCCGCACGGCCCTGCGTGGACCAAGCATTCCGCCCGGCACGGATTACCCTCAGCTTGTGTAGATCCGGCTTCTGAAGAATGGAGCGTTTCCGGTTTCCGGGTACCCGCGGAACCGCCTCCGCCCCTGCACGGCCCTGCACGGCAGAGCGTAGGCAGGGCCGCGCCCCGTGACGCAAACCAGCCCTTTTAGGATTGCAAAGCGGATTCGACGAGGGCCGGGTTTTACGCGGTCCTGCGACTGCGTGCGTGTGTGTCTGTGAGTGAATGCGTGCGCCCTCGTATGTGTGTGAGTGTTCGTATGTATTCATATATGTGCGTGTGTAGTGGGGTTGCTGAGTTTGCGAGCAGTTCGGCCGACTTACGCAAATAGACTGGGACCATTCAAAGAATGAACGAATGACGAATGAATGACTGCATCGGAGCAATGAAACGAATGAACGACTGGATGATTGAATCGGAACAATGAAACGAATAAACGACTGAATGATTGAATCGGAACAATGAAACGAATAAACGACTAAATGGCTGAATCGGAACAATGAAACGAATGAACAAGTAAAATAATGAATGAACGAATGGAATGAATGAATGAATGAATGAATGAATGAATGAATGAATGAATGAATGAATGAATGAATGAATGAATGAATGAATGAATGAATGAATGAAAAAGCGAACGACAAGTTTCAGCTTGTGCTGCAAGCCGAAGCCGTTTTGTCAGGCACAGCCAGGCAAGCTAGGAACAGCCAGGCAAGCCAGGCACAGCCTGGCAAAGCGTTGTTGCTAGGCAGGCATCCCCGTTTTGGCGGCGTGTGGGCAAGAGCGTGCATCGCAAAAGCTTGCGCTGCTTGCGCCACCTTTCTTCGACTTCCATGCTGGCCAACTTGTGTGATGGCAGGTGCTACCGTATGATAATGATGCCTTTCTCGGTTTACCCTGGACACCCTGGACGTGCTGCCATACAGTGTATCGGGTTGCCCCGACTGCCGCACCATCCCTCTCACATGCCTGCTGTCAAGGTGCGCCCTACAAAAAGAGGGGGAAAAGGAGAGAATTTTTTTTCGTGTGTGCTTCAGGACGACCACTTTATCCTTCACTTTCTATCTCACTTTGTGGTTGCAGCGCCCTGTGTCCGACAGGTGTAGATCTGCGTGCTTGTTTTCTCTGCTTGTTTGTGAGCTGGACGAGAGAAGACACCCGTACCTACTGTTGAGTGGGAGCTAATCCATTTTGGAGCGCGGCGCGGCGGTGTCGTGGGAAGCACGTTGTGGGATTGCGGCACGGAGCTCAGGGCGGACAACGTCACAACGCGACACTCCCTCCGCGCGGGGCAGGGCCGGGCAGGGCCGGGCAGGGCGCCATGGGCCATGGCGGCACTGGCCGCGATTTTGGACGCCAGCCAATGAGGATGCAGGAACACGCAGGGCCTAGGCAGGGCGCTCGCTGCCCTCCTCCCCCTTCCAGGATGGCTAGTCCCAACGTGGTGCACGCGGCGCGGCGCGGGGCGGGGTGGGGCGACGCAGGGCGAGGCGGGGCGGGGCGGGGCGGGGTGTTGCACCTAGGTGGGGTTGGCGGGCCCAAGCAGGGGGCGGGGCGGGCGGCTCGAACACCACACTATTCTTATCGCGAAGAGTCTGGTGGTGCCTCACTGTTCGGATCGGATCGGACTCGGAGCGGATCGGATCGGAGCGAGTCGTCGTCCCGTCCCAAGCAAGCCAAGCAAGCCAAGCAAGCAGGCCGGCCCCAGTCCCGCCCGGCACGGCCAGCCAGCCCGCCTGCCAGCCTGCCAGCCCAGGGGCACAGGCACAGGCACATCCCGGCGCGCGGTGCGGCTTGGTGCGGCCCCACAGCCGGCAGCCTGCGGCAGCCCCAGTCCGTTCCCATCGGCCAAGCCCTGCCCATCGCCCCGTCCGCACCGTCGTGCCGTCGTGCCGCCGTGCCGCCGTGCCGCCGTGCCGCCCGTCCGAGCGGGCTTGGCGTGCCTCGCGCTGCTTTCCAGTAACTCGCCCTCCAGCCCTTGCGGCCCTCACCGTGCTCCGAGCCGTGGTCCGAGCCGTGCTCGCCGTCCCCGAGTCCCGGCACAGCCCCAGGAGGACGCCGTCGTCGCCGCCCTTACAATGTGTTTTAACCCGGTGGACCTTGGCGCCGCGGCGCAGTGATACAAAGTGCGTGTGATTGTCAGGGGCAGGGGGAGGGGTGAGGGAGTGCGCTATGGCACTCACACGAGCGTGCATGTGTGGCCACACGGCTCGCCACACGGCAGTGTCCAAGGCCGTGCCGAGGGCCGTGCTGGGGGCCGTGCTCTCGGAGTCTCCCTCGGCGAGCCCGACCCCGGCCCCACACGCGCACCGCGACGCGGACCCGGCCTTCCGTGAGGACACCCGCACCGCCCGCTCCGCCCGCACCACCGTGCGTGCTGTTGGAGCAGTTCCACCCCCGTCGCGGGCGTCGCGGACCTGGCGGAGGCCGTCGTCTTGGATGGCGGCCCTGCTCGTCGTGGCGCTGGTGTGCACGCTGCCCGCCTGCTCGCTGGCGGAGCGCGCCCCCACCAGCAGGTCCGCGACGTCCACCCCGAGCGCCGTCGGCAAGTACCCGCTGGATGAGGACAGCACCGCCAGCACCGCCAGCGCCCTCCGCGCGCAGGGAGCGCGGCGCGCGCAGACGCGGGAGCTGGACGAATCTCTCGAGCAGGACGCCGAGCCCTCGCGAGGCCGGCGACCGTCCTCCGATCTGGACGACGACGCCGCCAAGCTGCTACCGGACCGACGCAGTCACAAGGGCGGCCGCGGCGCCCGCAAGCAGCAGCGCAAGCGTCCCAGGGACGACGACATGCCCCCGCTGGGCCAGAGCAGCGTCCTGGGCGGCTGCAACATGTGCCAGGAGCGCGAAGCCATCCGCAACTGGTCGCTGGCCGCCATCAAGGAGCAGATCCTCCACAAGCTGAACCTGCAGCAACCGCCCAACATCACGGGCCGGCGTCTGCCGCCCTACGACCAAGTGGCGTACGACTTGCTGCACCAGCCGCCGAACCTCGGCGGTAACGGCATGCTCGGGGACGACCCGGACGCCTACCGCACGGAGCAGTTCTACGAGGAGGACGACGACTACCACGCCAAGACGGAGAGGATCATCGCCTTCCCCCAGACCCGTAAGTACTGCACGGAGGCTCTTGCGGCCCTGAGCTGGAGGCGCTGGAGGCCCTGGAGGCGCTGGAGGCCCTGGAGGCTCTGAAGGCCCTGGAGGCAGCGCTGCACAGCGCCATCCCCGAGGCAGGTGCGCGCAGCAACGCCGCCACGCAGTCCACGCCACACACTTCCCTGCCGGTTCGCCGTTGAATTCCTGACTGTCATTGTTCACAGTCCGCCTGAACCGGCACGGCACGGCGCGGCGCGACGCGGTGGCTTGCCAAATAATGTATAAGAGCCTCCCAAGGCGGTTACATAAAGCCACGATAAGGCCTACAAGGTGGGCACGGCGTGGCACGGCACGGCACGGCGGCAAGGCGGAAAGCATCGAACGTCGTCAAGCGGCCGGCGGGGCGCGGCGGGGCGCGGCGGGGCGCGGCGGGGCGCGGCGGGGCGCGGCGGGGCGCGGCGGGGCGCGGCGGGGTGGGGCGGAGCAGCCAGCAGCGCAGCAGGGCCAGCAGGGCCAGCCAGGGCGGGGCAGTCTTTATTCCACACACTGAACTCTCTTTGTAAGTGTCCGGATGGAATCTTGCCGAATGTTGGTATTGTAAATTGGACGGTCGGCTGGGCACAGCCGGGCAGAGCCGAGCTGAGGGTGCAGGCCCGAAGCCGCATCGCATGGGGGCGGGGAGGCCCAAGGGAGGCTGCCTGTCTCGGCCCGTTCGAGGCTCTTTTGAGACGATTGTCGGACGGCCCCCGTTGCATGTGTTGGATAATGACAGGTGGCTCGCCGCGACATACTACACGCCGTTAGACATTCGACGCGATAAAACAAAAATGGCCCGCCAAAAAAAAGGGTCAACAAACTGCTGCAGGTTATTGTCGTTCATGGACAACCTTCAATTTGGGGCGTGGACGTGGAGCGGACTGGCGCCCAAGCGGTGCGGGCCCTGGGCCTTGCCCTGGGCCGTGGGCCCCACGCCGTACGGACTACTGGATGAGTGCACTGCCGCCGACTGCCGCCCCCCTCCTGACCCCTCACTCCCCCTCCCGCTGCCCCTCCGCTCACCTCTGACCCTCCTCCACCTCTGTGAGGCGTGCGGTTCTGCCGTCGGTAATTTTGCGAACGGTCTTCTGACCCATATCCTCTGACTTTACGTCTGGACCATAAAGAAAAAAGCCTCAAGAAGAATGTAAGCTTTTGCGTGGTGTGCCTTTGCGTAAGACATGATCCTCTGAATGCGTGAAAATGCTCAAGTCGTGCTGAGGACATTTGGAAAACTGTTGGATCGCAAATGTCAACACATGATGTGGCCGGTGGACTGCCTCAATACCGTTATGTGATGAGCAAAGGAATCCTGGACTGAACGCCTCGTTCTCAGTATGGCATGTCTTTTGCCGAGTCGAGCCGAGCTCGGACGGGGCCTGGCTGCCGGGCCGGTGTCGGCGCCGAGCCGAGCCGAGCCAAGAATTTTTCGGCACAATGAGAAACGCGTTTTCGTGAGTTGCAACGGTCGTGTTTTCCCTGTGTTTTCCCAAGTCTGTTTGCATGAGTCAAATACTTGCTCCCACTTGTGTGTCGCTTTCCTGTTTCTTTCTTTCCCTTTCCGGACACCTTCTATCTTTGCTTACCCGACTCCGGGAGCGCGCTGTGTGTTGCTCGTCATTCCTCGAACGCGCAGCAACGCGCAGTGTCGTGGAGCGGAGCGAGCGACGCGAACGCGTGTGGTTTTCAGCCCAGTAAAGCAGGCGGCAGTGAAATAAAATGAGGGGGGAAGGGGGATTAAGGTTCCTTTAACTCTCCTCCCCCCCCCCTCCTCCTCCAGCCAATCAGAGGAGAAGGCCGCTCGCGAGGCTCCATGCCAGTGGTCATTGACCAAACGGCCAAACTGGCTGTGCTTTACAATGTAAGGCCACACTCACACCGTTATGCGGACCAGTCGGAGGCTGTGTGTGTGAGGGAGAGAGAAGCGGAGTGAGTGAGTGTGTGTGAGAGAGAGAGAGAGAGAGAGAGAGAGAGAGAGAGAGAGAGAGAGAGAGAGAGAGAGAGAGAGTGCCGTGTTTGCCTCGGGCGGGGGAGATGAACCCTGTAACGTTTTGTCGCGGGAACACTGCAACAGTTCGGCGTTTTCTGGCCGGCATCGTTTCGTGGACCCAGCTAGGTGGTAGGCCCGGCCGGCCGTCGGCCGTGCCACACGGCCGTACCCGCACCGCCCGCACTGGCCGGGCTGCTCTCGTCGCCGCGCCAGCTTGGCCATGCTTGGCCATGCTGCTCGTTCGTCCATTCGCCCATTCGGCCCCTTTGTTCTTTTCGGCCCGTTTCCATCAGATTTGAGTCGCCCCGTCGGCCGTGCCTGGCCGTGCCTGGCCGTGCCGCCGTCGCCACGCGGGGGGAGACAGTGGGCGGCGGGCCCAGCGGGACCCGGCCAAAGTGCAGGTTCAGAAGGTCGCGGTTCCGAGGATGAACGCGGAACCTAGTCGGCCGTCGGGAAGCCCCGCGGCCGGGAGTCTGGTTCCAATCGGAACAGTGCTTTCGTCTCTCTCTCACACACCCTTAGGACCCACGTGAGCGAGAGAGGCAGAGCAACGGACGCACCGGTCGCAATGAACCTCCCGCCCCAATAACTCGGCGACCTGTTGGCGCTTGGCGGGGCTTGGCGCCGCGCAGAGCCACACAACCGCAGACACGTGGGTGCTGGAGCGCGCCAGCAACTTAGTGTGCCTGCAGGCTGTGCTAGCCTGCCGGCCAGTTGGGCCAGTCCGCCAGTCTGACCAGACCAGACGACCAGACCAGACGGCACGTCACCACGCGGCTAGACTCGCAACGAGAGCGTACCCTTGACCCTTGGCTGGGCCGGCTGGGCCGGCTGGGTCGCGGAAAGCGCTGCCACAACGCCCGCCGCATCGTGCGCAAGTGTGCGTGCACGCCAAAGGCACGCCAAAGGCACGCCAAAGGCACGCCAAAGGCACGCCAAAGGCACGCCAAAGGCACGCCAAAGGCACGCCAAAGGCACGCCAAAGGCACGCCAAAGGCACGCCAAAGGCACGCCAAAGGCACGCCAAAGGCACACCAGAGCGCTGTGCTGCAACCGCGTTCCACGTCCCGACCGGTCATTCAAAAACGGGTCACGCTCGAGAGGATTTCAGCCCGGGGCTGGGGGCGCCAAGCGCGCCAAGACCCACGCGCGCGCATGGCACTGGCCCTATTCTTGACCCGCGTTCGCGACCCGGAGGTAGAAGCCGATTGTGCCCTCGTTTGCGAATTTTCGGAGGGAAACCTGTTTGGGGGCCGGCTGGCCGGCCGGCTGGCTGGCCGGCTGCGCGGCCCCAGGCCCAAGGCGTGGGGCATGCCCATGGCGCTGGGGCCCACGGCCCACGGCCCACGGCCCACGGCCCACGGCCCACGGCCCACGGCCCACGGCCCACGGCCCACGGCCCACGGCCCACGGCCCACGGCCCACGGCCGGCCACGGCCCACGGCCCACGGCCCACGGCCCCGGCCCACGGCCCACGGCCCACGGCCCACGGCCACGGCCACGGCCCACGGCCCACGGCCCACGGCCCACGGCCCACGGCCCACGGCCACGGCCACGGCCCACGGCCCACGGCCCACGGCCCCGGCCCACGCCCACGCCAGGCCCACGGCCCACGGCCACGGACGCCACGGCCACGGGCCCACGGCCACGGCCACGCCCAGGCCCACGGCCCACGGCCCACGGCCCACGGCCCACGGCGCTGGGCTCGAGCTGCGACAACGGCTTCTACGCCCAACAGGGCCGCGCGCCGCCGCGCCCGCCAGGCCTGCTGGAGTCTGGCTGGAGCCTGGCCTGGGCCAACCACTGACGTCAAGCCACGTCCAGCAGCCCAGCACGCCAAACTCGTTCAGTAGTGGCCCTATCCACCATCAGTGTTGCGCTTCGACCACCTCGCGGGGCAGTGAGTTTGTAGTTCGGTAAACCGCACCACGCCCACCCACGCCCACCCAGTCAATGAGGGGGCGAGTGGCATGGCCCGCTGGTGCCGGCGGGCCGATAGTGTCGGAAAAAGCCGGACAACACGCGCCGCGCGGCCCGCGCCACGTGACGGTGGGGACGAAGAGGGTGGCCATCATCTCGTGCAAGTTGCAGCAGGCCGTCGCGGCAGACCGCGGCGCGGCAGTGTCGCGTTGCACTTTTGCGCACGCGTTGCGGAAAAAAGAGACGCGGCGCGTGGCAGAGTGGCGCCTGCCGGCCTGACGACGACGGCAACGACGGCATGCCTTCCCGTGTCTTTGTTCCTGTACGAGTAACGCTGACGGCGCGCGTGTATTTTTTGCCCTCGGCGAAAACGCGCTCGCGCGTGCCGGCGGCCGCTCTGGTGCACTGGTGGCACGTAGAGTCAGTCCTACAGGGGCTGCGCGGGTTGCGAAGCAGCCAAGCCATGTCAAGCCACGCGAAGCCACGCGAAGCGCCATGTGTCTCCTCAAAGTTTCCACCGCGATTTGCCGCAAACTTCCGTCCCTCCCACTGCCTTCCCCATGCCGCTGGGCCGGCTGGGCCCGCTGGGCCGATGTGCCGCTGCCCTCCCCACGGGGGCCTGGCGTGGCCGCCTGGCCTGGCCCGCCCCACGCTCCATCTATTCACGTATACTAGACGGCGGGCCAGACGGGGGCCTCATCGCTCTCGTCTAGCCAGGGCACGGCCACGGCCTGGGCAGACTGACCGCACCAAGGCGTCCCGGGCTGCCCTAGGCCATGCGCGCCGACGACAGCGCGTCGGCCGCGTCGGCGCGACCCAGTGCCGCGCCAGTGCCCAGGCAGTGCCGCAGTGCCGGGCCGGCGACAGGCCGGGGCTCCTTGGCCGCCACGCCACCGCCACGGCCACCGCGGTCACGTCGCTGACGTGTAGGGCGGCTCGCTCTCGCTCCGCACACGTGCGCCCTTGTGCCATCCGAGCAAAGTACGTACACCGCCGGCTGCTCCACGAGAGGTGCCCCTGCCCCGCTCCTGTCGAACGATTCCGCTGCCCGCACGGCCCGCACGGCC